GGGGCTGCCCAGGGAAGGGGTCGAGTCCCCATCCCTGGGGGGATTTAACAGCCGGGCAGGGGCGGTGCTGAGGGCCAGGGTTTGGGGGTGGGATGGCAGGGGTAGGGGAACGGTTGGGCTGGGGGAGCTTAAAGGGCTTTTCCAACCCAAACGGTTCGATGTGGGGGGTTGCTGAGGTGCCATGGGATAAAGTGTTGGGAGTCAGGGGTGAGGGAATGTGGGGAGGGCCGTGGGACAAGGAGGGCTACAGGCAGTGGCACTAGGCATATTTACAGCCGCTCTGTGTTTGGGAGATGGGGAGGGAAATGAGTCAAGGTGCTGGTGTTGTTTCTCAGCCGTTGTGCTTACTCCATGGCTTTGTTCTTTCTCTCCCATAGACTGTGGAGTCTGTGCTCCGTCCTGCAGGAGCAGCTCCGGCCTGTCTTGTTGTCCCAGTGAGAACAAAGAAGAGGTTTTCTGTCCCTGAATGGGCCAGGGAGCTGTCTCCTAAAGAGAAGGAGAAGAGACTCAGGTCTTCTGGGATGGTATTTCCCGAGGAACGCATAGAACGGACCTTCTACTTGGCCTGCACAGGTGGTAGAAAGCCTGCTTTGGTCTTTTCTCAAGGGCAAAGCTAATGCAAAGTAGCAGCATGAGCAATTAGCCTAAGCAGTGTGACCATGCTGACTGCGATAGATCGAGTCACACACTCTGCCTCCTGATGTGGGGTAGCAGCTGTCCCCGTCACTGCTGACGAGCTGTGTTAGACTGGCAGTTCTCTGGCGGCTCACATTTTATCTTACAAACATTTTCAGGGAGGAATCCTGCTACTCCAGCCCTTGGCAGCCAGGGCGCTGCCTCTGTTTCTTTCATTTTGCTGTTTTGAGCTTCCTCCTGACCTTTCTTCTCTCTCCTGCAGCTGATATTATAGACCCTTATGTCCCTCCTGAGGGCGATGCCCGCTTGACTTCCCTGTCCAAAGATGGGCTGAAGCAAAAAGTGGAGAAGATGAAGCAGACTGCTGTCTCCCAGCTAGCGTACGTACCGCCTCTTTAATTATTCTGTGCTGCAGAAGTTTTGCTCGGTTCTGTCTTGCAGTGGTGAGATGGTATGTTTTGTTTCTACCTGCTTCTTCTGCTATTGCTGTTGCACCACTTAACTGGGAGTCCCTGGTATGAGAACGAGCGCAAAGCACCTGTCCTGGTGTGAATGGACACAGCGTGCACTCATTTTCTTGAGGATTCTTTGGGTTTGCAGCACTATGTCTGTTTTACGAGCACCTAGAGGTTGTCTCAGTGGGGAGTCTTCAGCTCTCAGTTGTTCCCTGGTAAAATCTGGGCTGTTGTCACCTGAAACGTGCAAGACAGTTCCAAGTTATTCTTTACTCACAGTAGAGCTTTTCTTGTCTTTCCAGTCTGCGGAAGGTAAAAGATCATGATCCGGATTTCAGCACTAAAACCTTCCCAGAGAAGGCGCAGGAGATATTTATTGAAGCTCACAACTGCCTGGCAAAGTAAGATCGCTTCTCTAACTGATGTGGTTACGTGGGACCTGCTTCTCTTTGCTTATATGCTCTGTTTTTCTGGTCTTTCTAATCCTTGCACCTCCTCTTCAATAAATACTTTATCTTGTTCTGCCCCCATCTCTATGAAGAGTACACTGACCAAATCTCCCAACAGCCCCCTCTTGCTTTTGTAATGAAAAGCAGGTTGCAGAAAGTTGGTCTTGACCTGACCTGCAGAGGAGATGAGCTGTTGCAGCACTAGTGTTAGTGGGTGAGTGGGTGGTTGGTGCTGTGCAGAATCACGCTGCGGGGAATTGTTTGGAGACTAAATGATACTCCACTGGCTTGCTCCACTTTCCAGTAATAGAACAGATTTCAAAACTGCATCATTCTTGGTTACAATTCCAAACATCAATAAAACATTTAGGTTGTAACTGGCTTCTGAAGGATGTTGTGTCTTTCCCTGAAGTCTTGTCAACCAGCTCGTGTTCGTGTTCTGGTTTCGTGCTGAGATCACAGCTGAGAATTTCCCTTTCTCTGTTTTGCCAGCAGATTGTCTTCTGGGGAAGCAGGAATTTGCGAGTAAGCCTCTTCCCAATGTGTGTACTCAAGTAACTGGGTGTGTTTCACTTGCAGTTTTAACAAGCAGAAACTTCACTCCCTGGTGACAGAGCGCTGCTACCCAGTAAGTGTTTACTGGGGACGTAGCATGTCCTTGGTGTCTTCTGTGGTCTCTGAGGCTCTCTAAACCTGGTCATCTGTCTCAATTTTTCTGGATACAGTAAAGACAAAGCTGGGAGGGAAAGCACAAGTCTAAGTAACAGCTACTGAATCAATGCTTCATTATATATAGTGGTTTGCTTGTCATTCAATTCACATGCTAAATAAGTCGGTGATTATTTTTCTTACAGGAAATGGTCCGTGGGAACAGGTACAAGACCATCCGGTGGAGTTTTGTGGAGTCGCTGGAGCCTCCAAGAGTGGTTCATGTTCGATGTGACAGCATTGTGAATCGAGGCAACCTGTATGGCCAGGTGACAGTGCGGATGCACACGCGGCAGGTACATCCCCTTGTTCCCCCTTGCGTTTCCCAGCTGACTCCAACCTGCTGCCAGCCCAGTGTAAGCCTCTTGGCTCTGTTCACAGATTCTGGCAATCTATGACCGCTTTGGGCGGCTGATGTATGGTGGGGAGCAGGTGCCCAAGGATGTTTTGGAGTATGTCGTGTTTGAGAGGTACTTGGTCAACCCATATGGCACATGGAGGATGCACGGCAAGATCGTTCCAGAGTGGGCTCCACCCAAGGAGCCCATCATTAAGGTAATGCCCTGAGGAGGAGGCACCGGCACGGCCTTTGTCTGTGAAACATAGGTCCCTGGTTAATTCTGGACAAAACCAAAGCTGACCTTCCTGCGATGGGAAGGTGGTGCATTAACTTGCAAGAAGACCTATTTATGAATGTGGGATTATCAGCCTCTAGCACCTGGAAGCTATAGTAGGAGGCGGATGGTATTTGACACATACGCGATAATTTAGGGGGTTTCTGGTCCCTGTACATGGCCTGGCAGAGTGGCGCAGGTGCTCTGTCTTCCTGTGTTACTAAAAACAGGTCCTAGAGAGGAAGGAGGTGAGAACTACAGTTCAGTAGTACACTACAGGCATGTCATCCCATTCCCCCTCTGCGTCCTCCCCCATGCTGCTGCCATCTGGTCATCGTCCTGTGCAAGGCCTTTGCCTTGCCAGACCCCCCCCCTGCTCTCCCTTTCTTACGCTCTGTAACATGAAGAGTTCCCATTACAGCCGTTCAGAGCTGCTCTGTGTCATGCTGATTTTGTTCCTTGCTTTTTCAGACTGTGATGATTCCTGGCCCAACCTTGGATCCCTCAAAAGAGTTTGAAGAAATGAAGTAGGAAGTTCCAGAGCCTGTTACAGAGGCAGCAGTGCAAGCTGCTCTGGAGGGAAGACGTGGAGAATGTCTGTGGAGGTAGCGGGTTGGATATGGCTTGTGCCTTTCCAATGAGCAGTCAACAAACAAAGTGGCTTCAGAAATGGACTCCAGTCACTAGGAATTTGCCTTTAAAGGAGCGAGAGGGGCTTGGGAGAGGGATTCAGATGAGCTCTGGCAAGAGCTTTTCTTTGTCTGAGTAGATGTAGTGTGCTGCAGCTTAACCCTCTCTGTGTTTCTGTGAAGACGAGAAGTCTGTTCCCTTCAGGACTGCTCTCTAGGCTAACTTCTGTCCTGAACTTGCATCCTGACAGCCCTTGGCAGCAGAAGTCTGTCCAGACATGGGATACTTGGCACTTCCATGGGAAGTGTCATAGACCTGGTGGGCTTTCCTTGAAATGTTCAGCAGTAGGGGTTGGCACGTTCTTTTCCTGTCCTC